TGGTTCTTCCAACTCCAGGGCTCTGGCTGGGATCAGCATGGCTCCATGTATTTTGTCAGCAGGAAGATGAAGCACAGAGTGTGTGTGTCCTGTCTCCATGGAGAAAGACAGTAGTTCCCAGAATCCTCAGGGGAAGACCATGCCCACCCAGAGGCATGACTGATTGGCTATGACCTGACTGACATGCTAGACTCCACCCTTAGAACCTATTTAATAAGTTGACATGAAATTATTATGTAACTACCACATGTCTGAACATAATGTGCCGAACCCACTTCTGGCTGCTTCAAATTGAACTTTGTGGGTTCCTTTATCTCCCTCTAAGTCCACCAAAATAATGGGCTGGTCTCCAATGTCCTACTTCCAACAATTGATATTACCACATACCACTGATTGGTCATAGTATAAAACCCCCACATGAGAGCAGAGTGCCCCATCCACAACAAGACTCAATGTCTCTGTTGTCACTACTTGTGGCCATGATTACCACCTGACTGGATAAACCACTGTCCCTTGGGTTTATCTTATTCTGTAGGACCTGTTGCAGAATCTACAACAAAGCCCTTGACTCATCCGATGGTAAAAAAGCCAGTGGGCAAAACACAGTGTTTTCCACTGGTATGATTGATGAACTTTTAATAGTTTTCATTGTTCTTATGGCTTCCTTGGAAATAATGGCATAAATTGAAGCTCTTGTCAATTTTACTACACAGGCCCTGAGTAATAGCAGAGAAAGTTTGCCATGATTAACTGCCAAGACCACCCAGATGAGACAAGTAGTCTTTCAGCGCCCATGGCTCCAGATATCCTAACAACTAATCAAGGTACTGTGGCAACCACATGCCACAGTAAAGACAAAATGTTACACCCGTATGACAAACTATCACCCAAACAGTACTGATTTACCAGCCCATAAGAAGACACAAAGAGTAGCCCTGGGCATACATGGGATACCTGAAGATTGAGCTGTTGTCCCTATATGGTTTTCTGCCTTCCCTCTGGGTAGCCAGAGCTTTTGCTGGGTCTTGGTCTTTTATAGGTTTAGGTTGTTCTGGTGTGCTTGTCTCTATTGCTGCTGTTGTCTATGCCTCCAATTAGAGCAACCCTGGCAATTCCTACCTGCATAATTAGAACATCTCCCCTTGGGGCCTTCAGTATGGATGATAGCTCTACATAAAGAAAGCAGAAGTGATCATAGTTGGACCAATAAAAACATCATAATAAATGCAGAAAAATATTGAAGCTGTTAAGGATTTATATATCCACAATCCACACCCACGGAAGCAACAGTCATAAAAGAAAATGACATATTGCATTTAGTGAATCTGTTGTAAAAGACTTCTTGAAAGTGTTAAAAAGCAAGGATGTCATTTTGAGGACTGAAGTGCGGCTGACTCAATCCGTAGTGTTTTCAATCACCTGATAGGTGTGTGGTGGCTGGACAATGAATAACAAAGACCTAAGAAGAATTGATGGATTTGTATTGTGGTATTGTCAAAGAACAGGAAATATACCAGGGGTTGTGGAAGCACAAACAAATCTGCTTTGCAAATAGACTGATCCGCAGAAGTGAGGATGCTGAGACGCTGTATCATGTTAGAAGAAGGGACCCTCCCTGGAGAAAGATATGCTCTGTAAAGTAGAATGGCAGCAAAAAAGATCCTACATGAGAGAGACAGGTTTAAATAGGGCTGCAACAATGGGTTCACACAGGAAAGATTGGCTCAGGAGAAGGCGATGTTTTGTTCTGTTACAGAGTTACTATGAGTCAGAATCAACTTGTGGGCATTTAACAACATCAGTTGAAGACACCCTCTCAAAAAAAAGATCAGACAAATCTACTACCACTAAACTTCTAAAGTTTCTAATTGTTGTTTTTTTTTCTAATTGTTTTTAAACCTATGACCCATGGCACAAGGTGTAAACCAATGAACATATATCTGACCCAAGACTAAATTCAAAGTGCTGTACTATTAATTCATGACCCTGAAAAGTTAGCTAATCTCCTGGATGTCAGGTTCCATATCTAATGTGAAGGAGCTCTGGTAGTACAGTGGTTTAAGTGTTCTTAAGAGGTCAGCCTTTCAAATCCACCAAATGGTTTTTGGAGTAAAGAGTTGGCAGTAGGCTTCCATAAGGATGTGACAGGCTCAGAAACCAATTGGAGGAGTTCTATTCTACCTTACAAGCTAACTAGGAGTTGGGATACACTAAATGGCAGTGGGTGGGTGTTTGTTTTAAACAGTTTTATTGGCACATAATCCATGAGGCAGTTAGTTTATTGTGCCAACCTGCCCAATAAACACATGTGGGGTTAATTGAAGGGCGGAAGGATAAATGGCTCAGTGAGCCTTGCCTTTCGACTTCTCGGGTCTCTTTGCTTTGTGATGGTCGGACCAGGGTGCAGCTGCAACTATTTCGAAGAATATCTCCGGACACAATATTACGTCATCGAAAAGATGTGGAAATATAAGGATTGTTTTAAAAGCCAGAATCTTAGCACTACTGTCGCATATAAGCAACTAAACCACAATTTAATATTACAAAATACCTAGTCCGTGTTTACGATATCCCATAAACCTCAGGTTTTCATACAGTTGCAATCACGCGTTTAACCTCACCTCAATTAAATCGTCTGTCTCTCATCCTGCCCCTCAGATTGGCGCTCCTAGGCCCTATGTTTTGCTGAAAGAATATTCTACACTGTGAGACCAGGACCACTGGTGGCCTAGTGGTTTACACGTTGAGTTGCGCTCACCAAGATAAGCAGTTCAAAACGAAAGGTCGCCGAAGGGGCTTTCTACTCCTGGAAAGATCTAGTCCGGGAAAACTCGGTGTGACTCTGGGCCGTAGAAGCGCCGAGCGTCGCTAGGCAACGCCTTGGGAACTTTGGTCGGCGGAACCGAAGTCGTCCGCTCTGGCGACCTCCACAGGGAACGTCTTTCCGTTGCACCAAGAGGAACCCTCGGCCTGACGTGATTGGCACCCGGCGGCGGAAGTGCCTTTGCGCTTCCAGCTCCCGCAGACTTCGGCCGCGAGATCGGCTGCCCGGGCCGGCGCTGCCTCCCCGCCACGCGCGCCCCAGGGACCCGAGCCCTCCGCGGCCATGGAGCAGGGTGCGGACGGGCGCACGGCGAGCGCGCTCTTCGCGGGCTTCCGGGCCCTGGGGCTGTTCAGCAACGACCTTCCCCACGCGGTGCGCTTTAGCGCGCTGAAACGCCGCTTCTACGTGACGACGTGCGTGGGCAAGAGCTTCCACACCTACGACGTGAGTGAGCCGTCCCCTCGCGCCGGCGCGGCCCGGGCACCGAGCTCGTCTCTCCTCCCTCCCCGAGGGAGGCCTCCCCTGCCCGCCGCTTCCGTGCCCAGCCCGCCCGGCGCCGTCACGTGCGCGGCCCGGAGGGGAGAGAATTCTGGGTTCGGGCCTTCGTTGGTTCGGCAGCTAGATTCTGGCCGCCCGCTTCCCCGGGAGGAAGTAAAGGCGTTCAGTGCCCCGAATCCTCCGTTCTTCACGAGAAAGCCTTAGGAGCCTTTGTACAGTCCGCGACCCAAACTTCACGTTGCGAGAACTGGAAGGGACGAGGTTCATTGTGATTTCGGAAACCCTGCCCATGTGCTAGCCATCCAGTTTATTGCCTCAGGCTTCCGTTATTATTATCGTGGGGGGCAACGTGAAATGCCTCGTCGTGCCCCATGAAGCCTGCAGCAGTTTCTAGTAGGGATCACTGTCTCGCAGCACCGAAACACGAGGACACCAAGCCTCAGAGCAATTACGTGTCTCGGTTAAGGCCCAGCTTCGTGGAATAATCGATGTCTTGTCTGCTTTCTTCAATATTTCGTCAGTCACTAAAATAGCCTGTTGTGGTGGTTCACAGGCGTCTTCTCCAAGAGGCTTGAAAACGCTGATGGGGATAGTAACGAAGCCCTTCTCCCCCAGGCTCCTTGTTTGTAAAGCTGTTTCTGCTAAGTCGCTGGTTCTCAACCTTCCTCATGCCGCGACCCTTTCCTCATGTGGTGGTGACCCCCAACCATAAAGTCATTTTCGTTGCTACTTCCTAAGATTTTGCTACTGTTGTGGTTGAGAACCACTGCCTTAAGGGCCGTGAAAACCAAATGGATGCTTAACAAGAAGAACTGAGAGTTGAGATGGGTTTAGTTCTTCAGAAAAGAGGGTAGGCCTAGAGCAGCTTGTTTTCCCCAAGCCCAGTTGTCAAGGGAGAAAAGGTAGATAGATTGATGTGGAGATGTTTATTGTTGCCGCTAGCCCCAGGTAACCCTTGCATGCCAACTAATTTCTGCTGATCAGTTTCTTCCCTGAAATGTTGCCTTAATAATTGCCTCACTTAGATCTTGAAATCTTATTTTTGGCGGTGTTTTATCCACACTACTTAATGTTAACAGTTTCTTATCTGTACACTGAAATTCAGTTGTTAAAATGAAGTTGTTTCTACAGCCCCCCCTACTAGTTCATGCACTACTGATGCAGTTTTTAATTTCTCCAGTCATAACATCATTACCTGTAAGCCCTTATATTCCAAGGGCTGTGTACACTGCTGTGATCACTCAGTGCGCTGGGCCATGGCCTTTGAAATGGAAACTATTTGGCAGTAGAAAAATGGCACTAATAAGCTCATCACTAGTTTGGTCCACCAACCTTCATTCAGATTAATCTTTTATAGCGGGACCTTCACAAGTTGTAGATAGGTGATGACAGGTATGATTTATTGAGCTTTTACTGAGAGACTGCTTCAAAAAGTTTGTGGGAGAGTGGAATTAAAAGATAACAGAATTTTTCCAAAAATGTTTTCAAGCCCCCCTTGTGTTTGAATGGTACATCTCTAAGTGGCTTCTTGAATATTTTCATTGATTGCTCACAACAGTCCCTTACAGCAAGTGCCTATTTTAATTGTTATTTTGTAGATGTGGGAGTTGAGGCACAGGGAGATTAACTAATTGCCCCTAAGTAAGACAGCAGGATCAGTAACCAGAGATAAAGAGTTGGCAAACAAAAGTCTATGAGGCAGTTTACCCACTGCTTGTTCTTATATGAGCTGTAAACTGAGAGGCTTTTACATCATTACCTGGTTAGAAAAAATTAAAAGGAGAGTATGAATCATGAAATTATATGAAAATCGATTTTTGTATTTATAAGTAAAGTTATTGGAATACAACTAGCAGTGCACTTTCATTTATGTGTTTTCTATTACTTTTTTTGCTACAATGGTAGAGTCAAGTTGCAATACAGACTCTGTGGTCCACTAAGCCTGAAATATTAATGAGAGGGCTTCCAAAAGTTTGTGCAAAAATGGAACTAAAAGATACTGTATTTTTCCACTACCTTTTTGAAGCCTCCTCCTATGACCCTTGCTGACAAAAGCTTACCTTCCTCTGCCAGTACCTTTGCTGATACAGAAATTGAAGGTAGAATCCTTCCTGACCATGAATATTTGGTCACTAGTATCTATATATAAGGTTTACTCCTAATCTTCAAGTTTTGTAATTATTGCTTTTGTTATTGAAAATTTACTTTATCTTTTTTATCTTTAAACAGGTGCAGAAACTTAGTTTAGTCGCAGTAAGTAAGTGTGTTTTATTTGTTCTGCATTTTTAGTGTCTTGTCCTTTTTAAAAACATTGTATTTTGACGTAAATTTAAGATTTACAACAAAGTTGTGGGAATAGTACAAAGATAGTCTTTTACCCTTAGTGGTGTCTCCTTGCAAGTCACTGTGGTCGCTGTTGGGTTGCTAACCTCAAGGTTGTCAGCTTGAAACCACCAGTAGCTCCTCAAGAGAAAGACAAGGCTTTGTGCTCCTGGAAAGAGTCTCAGGAACCCAAAGGGGCAGCTGTATCCGTCCTGTAGGGTTGCTATGAGTTGAAATCAACTCACTGGCATTGAGATTTTTTGTTGGTTTTTAATGGCCAGGCACATTGAGTATATGTAACTGCCCTGTTATTCCTCCAAGCCTCACCCAAATGTGAGAGAAACAGGAGTTTCCACCAAATGTGAGAGAAACAGGAGTCCAGTGTGTATGTTGAATAAAAAACTAATTTTTAGAAGATTAATAGAAAGACACTATAAAATGAGGTTAATACAGAACTGGGTGATACATCTCTAAAAATATTATGTAGAAAATCAAAATAGAATGTAAATTGTTAAGACTGCTAAAGAGAGTTAATCTTTTAACCTAACCCCCAAAGGAAATGATAAATAAATAAAAGCCAGTGGGACCAAGATACTGAGAGAAAAATCAAAAGATTACATAAGAAATGGGCACGCTTACCAGGGAGATAAGTGGAAACGATGCTCATTGCCTTTGACAATTTTAAGTGTTAGCACGTGAAGTGCCAGGTGGAGTTACTTTAGATTGGGCAAAGAAGGAACTTAGAGAATCAGGTTTTGATTTATTTATAAAATTTTCCTCGCCTTGGTACTGAACTTAATGTTCTGAAGGTGGTATTCGTGTGAGGGCCGAATACCTGCTCGAATTGTGTGTACTAATGTAAAGTTACTTTTCCAAGTGACTTCAAAATGCTTAATTTCCTTACGATTAGTTTTTTTTGGGGTGCTTTAAAATGTGGAAGTAATAGACATTTTCCTATGGAAAGTAAAGGTGATTTTATAATCTCAGACTGATAGCTATTGTTAGATGTCCAAAATAATACAGAACATCAGTAATTGTAGTTGAACTGAAGAATCCAATTGACATTTATAGGACTTTATCCAACAACAGAATATACCTGTCTTATTAAACTCACGTGAAATATTCACTAAGACAGACAGCATCCCAGGTCATGAAACATATCTTAACAAATAGAAGAAAAATTATGTAAGGTATGCTCAAACACTACAATGATACTATTCTGGAAACCAATAGTGAAATGGAAACTAGAATATCCCATAAGTCAGAGATTAAATAACACTTCTGAGTAACAAGGTAACACATGACTCAAAGATGACTTCTGGAGAGAAATTTTTTTTTTTAATTTATTTATTTTTAATCAATTTATTGGGGCTCATACAATTCATCACAATACATAGATCAATTGTATAAAACACATCTATACATTTGTTGCCCTCATTATTCCCAAATCTGGAGAGAAATTTAACCTTTGAACTGAATGAATATTAGAACAGCGTGGAGGTCAGAGTTGTATACGCTTATTCACAGCTTTCATTTTTATTTATTTTGAAAATCATAGCCATGAGAGAAATTATACTTAAGGTTTCTGTTTTGCCTTAAGATCTTAAAAATTCTGAATTCTTTTCTTTTTGTATTTCATTTCTCCTAGGTAACTCTGTTCCACAAGATATCAGCTGTATGGCAGCTGATGGGAGGCTAGTCTATGCTGCATACGGGAATGTTTTCTCTGCATTTGCCCGAAATAAAGAGGTTTGTATCACTGGACTATTTTAATTTGTTTGTCTTAGGCAGTCAGTATTTGATTGTCATGATAGTAAAGGAGATCTTAAAGTTGTCAAGTGCTGGGCCCAATCAGGTTTACTCTGTGAAGCTTTTTAAACTTTAGATTTGTTGGAGTAGGTCTTGGACATGGCCTTTTGAAAAAGCGCCCTGCCTGGTACATATTTGTACCACTCCTTTATGCAGTCTGTGGGGGTCAGCCTCCTAGAGCAGGCAACTTTTTGTGCTAACTGAACTGGGAGGGACTGGGCGGTGTGCATGCCCCCTCACTAACCTCTGGTGGAAAGTAGCTGAGCAGGTTGAAGGATCAGGTGGGTAGCCCTGGTTTCTTGCTGTTTGTTAATATTAACCACTCAGCCACCAGGCTCTTCTGGTAAAACTGAAAGCTGTGAGTAAACTTAGAAGGCTCCGTGGAGGAGAACCAGGGCAAAGGAGGAAGAGTAAAGTTGGCACTAGTGGGGAAGATGTGGCTGGTATTGTGGTTGAGGGACAATCACACAGACCTTATTAAACTGGTTGAGCGGTGAACCTGCTTGGTTCTTTTCTATTTGTTAATCAAACCTTGGATGATCAAAAGTTGATTGTAGTTACTTGTACTAGCATCTACAGATTCAGCATGCTTCTTGGCTATTAAGAATAATATTATATGGTGAACCAATAATAATGCACAACTCTTAAACTTTACTTTGTAGATTGTACACACCTTCAGGAGTCATAAAGCAGAAATCCGTCTTTTGCAGCCATTTGGGGATCACATTATCTCTGTTGATACTGACAGCATTCTTATTATTTGGCACATATATTCCGAAGGTACGAATTAAAAGTATTTTATCAGGGGATAGTATAATCAATGTGAATATTATACCACTGGTTTTACATGCAAACAGTAGAATAGTTAATTTTTGAAGTGGAACTTTAATATATATGAGCGGGGGAAAGATTCTAAGTAGGAAGTAACTACTTATAACCTGTTCAATTTGTCTATCTTAGCTAATACATTTCCGTTGTGACCCTTTCAAGTCTGGTGACTTTCACTTTGGGGTGAATGTTGATGTGTGCTTGAGTAATTCTTGGCTCACATTTTACCTTGACTTGTAATTGTAAACTTGACGGTTTTATAGTCTGAAAACTACAACGCATTTTTCTGAGAACATGAGTCATTGTTCTTTCACTGCTCATTCCTTGGGGTATGTTTATGGCCCTGAACTGTGTTTATAGGACCGTGGCTCTTCAGGGGGGTTTATTACCAGAATATCTACACTTTTCCTTAATTTCAGCCTGGAGCCCCAGCATGAATGAAAGCTTTTAAGTTCTTACGTGTGTTTAAGTTTTTAGCTTACATCGCCTTTTGATTAGCTCATGCTTGATTCCGTAATTTTGTTTTTAGTAAAAGTCGTAGAAGCTTCCCTTTGAGGAACTACTGCTTATCCTCATTCAAATTAGTCACTCATCCTTGTTTTTTATTTGTTCAAGTGAAGTGAACAGGATTCCAAGTATTTTTCTTGTGTAGAAAAATGACCTTTTATGAGGTTACACAATACAGTTCATAACAGTCTACTAGGTTTCCTGTTGATGCTGGTCCAACACCTTGAACCAGTGTCTTCAGGGAAGAATTGTTTCTCGGATTTTAAATACAACAGCTAATTAGAAAGAAGTAGATCTTTTAAAATATACTTAAAGTTTGCATAATTTTCACTTGGTTATATTTTTTGAACTGGAATACACATGCCCTTCGGGGTATTCCCCAGTGTTCCAGACAATATGTGAACCCAAAGGTTCAATGAAGTGTGTGTTCTTTGATGCTCAAATTTGGGGGGAGATCTAGGGAGAAACTTGTTTTAGTCATAGGTAAACTATGAAGTAGAAAATGAAATTCACATAGGAACTTTAAAGATTCTTAAAATTCCAAAGAATTTATATATCTTGTAGCAAATGAAAATTGGCTATGCCTTCCTTAACTACATAGGATTATGAAGTCTGTTCTCCTCTTGTTAGAGGTTCTGGGAATATGTTAGAAAAACGCTGTTCTAAAAAATAAAATCCTTGTGAATGAGGGGGAGTGCTGATTGGGGACCCAAGACCCATCTTAGGCAACTGGACATCCCCTTACAGAAGGGTCACAGGGAGGAGAGTGAGTCAGGGTGCAGGGTAGCAACAATGAAACATACAACTTTCCTCTAGTTCCTAAATGCTCCCCTGTCCCCATCATGATCCCAATGATGCCTTAAAAATCTGGCTAGACCAGAGGCTGCACACTGGTACAGATAGGAAATGGAAACACTGGGAATCCAGGACAGATGATTCCTTCAGGACCAGTGCTGAGAGTGGCGATCCCGGGAGGGTGGGGTGGAAAAGGGGAACCGATTACAAGGATCTACATATAACCTCCTCCCTAGGGGACAGACAAACAGAAACATGGGTGAAGGGAGATGTCGGACAGTGTAAGATATGACAAAATAATAATTTATAAATTATCAAGGATTCGTGAGGGAGGGCGGGGTGGGGAGGGAGGGAAAAAATGAGCTGATACCAAGGGCTCAAGTAGAAAGAAAATGTTTTGAGAATGATGACGACAACATATGTACAAATGTGCTTGACGGAATGGATATATGTTTGGATTGTGATAAGAGTTGTATGAGGCCCCAATAAAATGATTTAAAAAAATAAATATTACATTATATATAAAGAAAGAAAAACACTGTTCTACATTTTATTTAAGTCTACCTTTTGCTTTTTATGTCCTTTATATCCGTGAATGGCTTGTCAGGCTTTCCAGGTGTTGGCTCTTCATTTTTCTGGAAAAGCCCAATGTAAGCATTTTACTTGGAGCATTCACTTTGCCTTTTGACCAGAATTGGACTAAATTAATTTAATCCAATGTAGTCCAGTTTTGGACTAAAATTGGATCTTAATTGGATCTTCTCGATTGATTCCTCCCCTTCCCCCCCTTTAAACTAATTTAGCAGTGAGTAAAATTTTAATTACATTTGTACTAGAACTTAAAAAAGAATGTTAAATGTTCAGATTATATTTATAAGTTGCCTTCGTTGCATTTATTTAATTTCTCAAGGAATGTGTTTATATAGACTAGTATATGAATTTTAATTTATATCAGTGTATGAATCCTTGATATGATAGGCTGGTTTACATAATAAATGTATGGGTATATGAAAAATGTAAGAAATAATTTCTATAATTTTCATTTTTGTAGAAGAATACCTGCAATTGACTTTTGATAAATCAGTGTTTAAAATTTCTGCAATTTTGCATCCGAGTACCTACTTAAATAAAATACTACTTGGCAGTGAACAAGGAAGCTTGCAGTTGTGGAATGTTAAATCCAAGTAAGCACTCTGTGTAGAAAATGTTATAAGTAGTTCCCACCGTACCCTCATGTATGTACTACCTCTTAAGGCACACTTCAGTCATTCAGTTCTCCCTGCCTTTCTATATTTATTTGAAGGGTGCAGTAGCTTTGAAGCGTATACATAAACACCCAAACCAAACTAGTTGTCACTGACTCGATCTCAGCTCATGGTGGCCTATGTGTGTCAGATAGAACTGTTTTCTGTAGGGGTTTCAGTGGCCGATTTTTCAGACATAGAGCTTGAAGCTTCTCTTCCAGGGTGCCTCTGGGTGAATTCAAACTTCAAACCTTTTGATTAGCAAGTAAGTGTGTTGACTGCACCCAGAGACTCCATCAAGATGTCTTTAGTAAAGTAAAGTGAAAACCTTTAGAAAATAATAATTGTGATTGTTATTGAATAGTTTCTAGTTTCAATTCAACTAAGAAGGAAGACGGAGGCAAAACAAATAGGTGGTAATGTCATACTAGCATTCAGAATGGTTTTTAGGGTAAAAATACTTTCCATTGTCAACCACAGACATAATGAATATCTGCTATAACTGGAGGGTTAGACACCTTTCGAATTTTCCTACCTTTATTTGAATATATAACTAGAGAAAAAGATGGAAGTTATATTTCGTGTATAGCATTAAAGAAAGCCAAGCACACAAAAAGTGGATCATCTAGATTGCCCTTTCCAAACCTTACATGGTTAAAGGGAAAATTAAATTTTTATAAGTACATGGTTTTCCTAGTTCATAGTTTTAAATCCGTGTTTCCATTTGACTTAACCAGTATCATGGACTACCTGCTCTGCTAGGCACCAAAAAAGCAAAATGAAATTCACTGCTGACTCATGGCAACTTTATAGGACAGGGTAGAACTGCCCTTTTGAGTTTCCAAGGCTGTACTCTTTACAAGAGTAGAAAGCCTCATCTTTCTCCCAAGGCATAGCTGGAGGTTTTCGAACTGCCAACCTTGCTGGATCCCAGCCCAATACATAGCTGTTAGGATACCGGGGCTTCTTTCTAGACACAGGAACAATACATGTCTGAGAAATACGTTGTTTTTATCTTTAAGGTATCTGCATAGGTTCCTTATGTGGCATTTACATTCTATATCATATACTTAAGTATCCCCGAATAATCACTGAGTGTACTGCATCTCTGTACATTTAAAGGATTTAATGAATGATTTGTTACTTCAGTAATTATCATTAGAAAATTTTCAGATATATTTCGTCAGCAAACTTATTATTTATAATTTCTGACACAGTTCTGAAATTTAGAACAGTATCGTTATCTAACAGTTTCATATTATAAGGTTAATATTGTAAGTATAAATGATAAAGTACCCTTTGTGATGCTGTTTCTAGAAACATTACAATGAAAAATGAGATCTCTATAAAATCTTAAATTTTTTAAATGTAGACAGACTATGAGATGCTTTTTAGTTGTGTTATTTTGATTTCCTGCTTAACATATTTGATTGTGCAAAGATGTGATTTAGTATAATAATTGTTACTGCTTTGTATGGCATCTGGAGTTGACCATTCTGAAACCTGCCACTTACTAGTCATATGATCTTATGATTCTGCCACAGTTTCTTAATCTGGAAAATAGTGTTAATGGTAGCTATTTCCTGGGATTATTTTGAATATTAAATAACTTAGTATATGTACTTATAATCAGTGTCTGACAGGAAATAATATCTGTTCTTATTTTACTATATACTGTGTAGTTAATTTTGCTTTCCTCAAGGGGAAAAAAAATAGCTTTCCAATATTTTTCTTCTTGTAGTAAACTCCTGTACACGTTTCCAGGATGGAAATTTGGAGTGACAGCTCTTCAGCAGGTTTGTAATTTTCTGTTAACATCAAGGAAGAAGCAAAGTAAGGAGCAGGAGCTCCTAGTTTTAGAAAGCAAAACATTTACCTTTATAACTAATAACTTGAGGAAAAAGTGATAGAAACAATAGTGCTTAGAATTAGGTTCTAGACCTGTGGTTGTTAGGGAGCTTGTGTAAACACATAGTCCATTACCTCGTGCATAGTGGAGATGAGTTCCACAAAGCAAAGGAAATTGTAGGTTTTGCAAAGAGAAACTTCTGAACATGCTAAGATTTGTGATTTGAAATAATGAGACCAAAATCCCAGTGTTTGATTCAACACTGGACATGTTTCCCTCAAAAGAAATGCTTTTTGTTTTTAACAAATCTGTAAAAACTATAAAATCTACTGTAATCAATAAGTATGCAGAGAATCTGGCATATATGTTAGATATATAAAATTACTATGCCCGTCCTCCTAAATATTACTACCTATAATTGGTCAGTTTATATGTACTGCATATACTTTCCAACCGCTATCAACCTTGCTCAGCCTTCTATTACTCAGAGGATCCGAAAGGTGTCAGATCATTAGTTCCCTTGAGGGCAAGAAGCATATTTATTTTAGTATTCCCAGCTTTCTACATAGGGTTTGAGCCACAGTGGACTCTTAATGGCAAATCAGTTAAGTATTTAGTTTGACTCACTTTTAGAGTATTGTTGGATATTACTGTTCTGTACTGAAATAGGGAAAATCATAATTAATACTTTAATGTAGAACCACATTGTATTGATGAAGATAAGAATCACAGAGTGTTACAGTTAAAAAGAGTTGCAGTTGGCCTTTTTTAGTGCCATGTATATCATTTTGGGAATTGTCCCCACTTGCTCGTCCACTGACCAGTGGTGTGTAGTGACTTCACACAGCAGCTTCCTTTTCTCTTGGTCAGCTAGTTTTGAGATAGGGAAGTGCGAGAGTGGCTGGCAGATCTGCAACTGGGAAGTCACTTTGAAAAATCACCTAAATATTTCAGTGCTAAATAACAAGGTATGCAAGAATGGTAATACTTGTTGCTTTTGTCAGAGGGTGATAGTGCTTTGTTTTTTGCTGGCACATGAATAATGACACATACCATTGGGATAATTAAAGCCATTCCTCTTAAGACAATAGTGAGTTTAGTACTTTAATTTTCAGGCACCTGCTGTGGATGTTGCTGCCGTGGGCCTTGTGTCAGGTCAGGTGTTCATTCACAACATTAAGTTTGATGAAACATTAATGACATTTCGTCAAGACTGGGGACCTATTACTTCGATTTCATTTCGGACAGGTAACTTTTAATATTGAATAAGTGTAAAAGCCTTTAAAATGCATTACTTTGAAAAGTTGTTGCTATGTTCTTAGCAGATTATTTTCTTGGAATTTAATCTAACAAATGAAATACTGGAGTAGAAGAAGTCAATGTGATGAAGTGTAAATCATAGGCGTACCCTCTTGTTCTTTTGTAATTTTATATTTATGGACTAAATGGATGCAGAGTTTTGTTTGGGAGGCTTTAGTGATTGGCAAAGGAGTCCTCATGGCATTGTTGTTTAAGCATTGGGCTGTTAATATTAAGGTTGGCGGTTCATACCCACCAGTTGTTCCATGAGAAGAAAATGAGACTGTCTGCTCCCTTGAAGATTTATAGGCTCAGAAGCCCTATATAGGGTTGCTGGGGGTGGAATTGACTTAATGGCAGTGAGTTTGGTTAGCTGAGTTTGGCAAGAGTTTGAGTTGACAGGAATTGCTTTTGTCAATGGCTTGTTTTATTTTAACAACAGATGGCCATCCAATAATGGCAGCTGGAAGCCCCTGTGGACATATTGGACTCTGGGATCTAGAAGACAAAAAATTAGTCAATCAAATGAGAAATGCACATTCTTCAGCAATTGCCGGACTGACATTTCTTCATAGAGAGCCGCTTCTTGTCACAAATGGTGCTGACAATGCTCTCAGGGTATCACAGTTATTACTGTTCACTTCTTATAACTGGCCCATCTGACCTGCGCTTTTCTTTAATGCATCAGCTTGAACTAGAAGATGAAAGGAATAGGGGATGAGGTATTGGTATAGACGAAACAGAGTACAGCAGTGAGGACGTGTGCAAAAAGTGGCACTCTAGCACCAGCGCCCC